AAAAAAAAAAAAAAAAAAAAAAAAGAAAAAAGAAAGAAAAAAAAAGAAAGAAAAAAAAAAACAGATATGATAAACTAATATTGATACCCGATGTTTTGTTATTAACATTTTGTTAAATATTTTTAATGGGACAACAAAACGATGTACAAGTTATAAATATTTAAAAGCGCAATAGTTAGGTCGTGTTTAAAATCTTTTTGTGAGTTGATAAATTAAAAATGGTTCAATTTATTCGAATGTTCAATTAATGTATATATCATTTTATATATTATAATGATAATTATAATGTATGTTCATCGACGGGTTTTATCATATCCATACAATCCAATTGAATATATTTAATAGATTTTTCGATATTTTACCTATTAAGTGTCGTATTTTTGATTCGACAAGTCCACACCATTCAAGCTGATCTTCAGCAGTTAAGCTTCTTGCTAATAATACAATATAATGTTTGTATTTTCCAAAGAAATTTGGAGGTTCAAATAATTTATCCCAAGTTGCCTTTCCCATAATAATCTCTTCCGTTATTGAAAGACCGTTTTCAAATGCTTCTTGCATAATGGTTCTCGTTGATACCGAAACGTTAAAGGTAGAATTTTGTTGAGGATATGCAGGCGTAATTATTGGCATTAAATGATATCTGTCCGATATATTCACCTTTAGAAAAAAGTTTATCAACTTAGAAAATTTTTGTTAACATGAAACTTTTAGTCAAATTAATTAAAGTATGGGAAGAATACTTACTCTTGGATCCCAAACAGGAAATCCTAAATTAACATTGTCAGGTTGCTTTAAAAGGACTGGCTGTGGCCATTTCCATTGAGAAAATACAAGGAAAAATTTTTCTATTAATGTTGCTGCAACAGCATTAGGATAAAGTTGGCACGTTCTTGCTACTAGCATAGCCCATGATACACCACCTAAATATCCTAATACATTACTATATATGCCATGTCCTAAAGATAAAAAACAAAAACGATAAGTAAAAAATATTCGTTTTATTTTATGATATAAAAAAAAATTAAAAAATAAATTAATTTACGTTTTGCCCATAATTTAATGGCTCTTAGGGCCAATCTAAAATTTTCTATATTAGGTACTAAACGCAGTATCTCATCTGTAACTCTGCAACCATTAAGACTTCTAACGCATTTTTGATCAAGATTTTTTAATAACATATCATCTCTGAGATCCTACATAATAAAAATTTATTAAATATAACAACAATGAAAAAAAATTTATAAATTATGATAGTGTCTTATATCTTGATCACTGGTCATTGAATTTAATTAATTTGCATGAGAAAGCTCCTAGAGAAAATCTTTCTTCAATAAAAATTTTATTTTAAAATAAATATTAGAATATTTATATATTATATTAAATATATTTATTAGAAATCATAAATATAGATTTCACTCGCATTTCTAAAAACTATTGGAGACAACCAGTTTGCAAGATAAAATCCAGTTAAAATGTAAGGCACTATTTATTTATAAATAAATTACTAACCATTGAATCCGGAATTTCTTTTAGAGCCAGTTTAGCAAACAACATATCAATTTCTATGCCATCAAAATTCATTTTTATTACTGGCACAAATGCTTCCTCTACTGCCTAAAAGATATTAAATGATATAACTAAATAATTGTAAAATTTATATTTCAACAAATAGATAATATATTTTATACAAAATAAATCTTTAATATCAAATCAAATAAAAATTGAATAATTAAACAGAACAATTTATATATGTTCATAATCATTTCTATCGCTAGAATAATTTCGTGAATAAAAATAATAAATTCTATTGATATAAAGCTCATAAAAATGTTTTTTTTTAATTTTTTAATTTATATTTTATTTTATTTTAAAGAATATATAAGAGCCTTTGATCCTGATTTTGATATTTATCGAAAATTATCTAATTATTATAATCATTCAATCTTTATTTCATTAATATTATTTCTTATTAATTAATAATAATTTAAAATATGAATTGTATTACTTACTATATTATAACTATATAAAAAACAATTTATATTAAATGGATAATTAATTACTACAACTATTGACATTATTTAAAATACATACCCTTAAATCGGTAACTTCTTCTTGCATTTTTAATAACTCGAAGAAAGATGTAAAATAATCTGACCGATAAATATGACGTGGTACTACACATAAGGCATCTATATCAGCACCTTTGTGGTGTACCCCTAACCTGTATGAACCAAAAGTATATATTTTACCGCCAACCTGTTCGGCTACATTGGGTGGCATATTTCTGGCAACACTTGTATCCCTTATCCATTGTTTTACTAATGCATTTAATTTACTAAAATTAAACAAAAACAATTAATATATGGTTAATAATGTTCAATATTATTATTATACAATATATATAAAAATATACCTTAAAATTTCCATCCTATGATTTAATTCTTCTTCTGATTCAAACACATTGTAAGGCTTTAATGCTTCTTTTAATTCATTTGTTCTAGTAAAATCACTGGGCTTTGGTTCTGCTACACTAATAGCAGATGTCATACCCAGTGTACGCAGATTTTTTTCTTCTTTGGATGAATTATTTGAATTAGAATTGTTACCTTGTGATGACCACATCTTGAAATTCATTTGTTTGTTCCAGATCTAAAATAAAAAAATTAATTATATTGATTTAAAAATAAAATAACATTATTTTTATTTTATTTTATTTAAACTGATTTTTACGTATATTAAAAATTGATTATATAAAAAATTATTTGTAATATATTAAATGATAATCTAAGTAACTTCATTTTATGTAATTAAACAATCGATTATATTATCACAAAAAAATATTAAATATCTCTCTATAAAATTAAAAAAATATATTAATAATTAATCTTCACAATAAAATAAATAAAATATATCTAAATGTTTATAAATGTTTTTAAACTAAGTATTATTTTTACATATATTTAAATATAATACACATAATACATAACATAAATTTATATATAAATATATTAAATATTATCATAGAATAAATGCATTTAAAATTCAAGATATTTTGTACAATTTAATTCATGTTTTCATATTTATAATCAATTTTTACATGTTATGTAGCACTAAAAAAGTTAATATAAAAGTACGTGAAAATTTCTCAGAAATATAATTAATAAATAGTGATACTTCACAAATTTGAAAAAGAATAGAGTACAAATATGGATAAAAAATAAAATTCATACGTTTATTTACACAAAACATTGAATGTTTTACAATATATGTAAACGTATGTAATAATCAACTTAATTGCGCGATTTTTCTTTAATTAAATAAAACATTAAACGCGTAATAAAATAACAAACATAGAAAATAATGGATGTCGCAGACTCGTTGAATCCTTACCGCTTAATACTTCGTCAAAGATTTAATAACATGTTAAAAGAGAAGAAACTTTGGACGTGTAGTCAGGTTATAAAACGCGCAAATGCTTCTAGTAAAGATGCATCACGTTCATCCAACGTTTGCAGTTGATTCCTGAAAAGGAAATTGTATTCCTAGCGCAAATAGCACGTTCTGAGGATTCTGCTTAGCCGCAAAGCAGTATGAACAACTTGTAAACAATTTATGAAGTAGCAAAAGAATTCCGAGAAACGTAGGTCCATAAGTCACCAAAACGTTCACGTCTACAAAATTATTCCATGTACCGCCAATGAAAATTAATCGGTCACAATATCGATTGAAATCTACTTCACGCACAGGATACTTTATACTACGATATAAATAAATAAGTAAACGTATCACTTGAAAATAACAGACAACATGTAGACCCGCACCAAACCACCTACAGTATAAACATGGCGTTCTCTGACGGATCAGTGTGATCATGGAAAAGCACGTGGATAGAGTGATTCTATTCAAGTAAATTTTGCCATCTTAGTTGACACGATCGCCATCTAATGTATTAGATTGAGAACTAAAAAAAGTTTATATCTTGAATTTTGGCTATTTAGAAATTCTTTTATTATTCTACTAATCCGTCTTTATTTTTATTGCTACTTAATATATTTTAAATAGATATATTTAATAAATTATTTATTATAGAATGAAGAATCAGAAATTCTATTGTAACAGTACAAATATTGCACTATAGAGATCGCAGTAATCGATATTACATTTCTTTAAAATATATTGCTTATGACTTGATATAGAATATATATATTTTCATTGTTATATGTTAAGTTGAATTATTATTTATTCTAAAGAACGGTACTATATAATTTTATTACATATGAATCACAAAAGAAACTTGATTTCATTTGTTTTGATACTTTAAATATTTTAATGTAAATTTATAAAATAAATATTTCAAAAATATAAAACATTTTTATACATTAATTTTGCATCAATATATATGTAAAATTTTTATTACAAATATTAGTATAGTTTCTAATATTTACAAGATTGATAAATATTATTACATTTAAATATTATTACATTAAAAACATTTTGTGTAGCATTTAATACTTTTTATATTTATTTTATATTTATTTTTTTATATTCAACTATATCAGTTATAATATTTTAGTATATCAAAATAGACGTATCATATTATAAATTTTATCCGACTCAAAAAAAAAAGGAAAATAATCAATTAAAGAATTTTTAATTACATTTCAATTACATATTCATATTTATTATTTCCCTTTACACAATATTTTTAGTTAAATATATTTTATTACATTATATGCAATTTCAATTTAACTTTCTCCAAAAATCTATAATTTTATTCTCAAATATAAAGCGCCTAGCAACATGACTTTTTATTTCCGATCCTCTCGCATGATGGCGCTACATGGCTTGCTTGTTAAAACTACACTATATTGCGAAATTTTTTTATTTATTCTTTGTTTCAATTCCTTTTTTATTCATTTTCTTTCTGGTACATGTTAGCTCCAATACAACAAGGACAGTATAGGTAAATGAAAACGAGTCATTGCATTGCTGAAGTTTTATTTGCAACTGAGAATTAAGCTGTATCATACCCACGAGAATGCTCGAGCCAGAACGTTTACTAGCCGCTGCTAAATTAACGCCAGAATTAATTTCCATCCACTTTTGCATTCTATCTAATCTACGTGTTCTCTCCACGAGCTAAACGTTTCAACGAATATAATAATTTGTACTTTCATCCTTTCTTTTTATGCACCAGTTACAGAAATGATTTCACAGTTTTCATTTTTCTTCATACAATGAAGAATTGTAAATGAATTGAAAATGATTCTTTTAAACAAAATATTTCTAAGATTTTTACAAACGAAAATATTCGAGGAAGAAATAATATGCATTATTTTACATCGTTACTGTTAATTAAATATAATGAATAAGAGAAATAAAAGTCATAGAATTAGAATTTAAAAATTTAAATTCTAATATTTGTATTATTACAATTAAATCAATATTGATTAATTTTTGAAATATTGATATTTTCAAAAATTACAAAGAATAGAATTTTTAGAATGATGTATAAATTTATAAACAAGAAATTGCATATTTATATCTCTCATAATTTCTTATAAATTCATCGATTTACTTTCACGCTGACATCCATGAATACACTCGATGGCAGCATCTTCATCCATGTTATCATCGATTCAAGTCTTTGTCTCGATCTATTCGTATCAAGACGCGAAGTCAGCGTCTCGTTTTCTTTTCTCTTCTATCCTTTCACGTTTCCATTTCTATGATTTCACATCTTCGCTATTTTCTAGGCCAGTGGAAAACGAATCATCAAGAACGGATCGCGAGAAGCGATCTTTTAATTTTCCATCAATTTTGCGAAAACAGGCGCACGACGTTAGAAAATCGACTTTTAATTAAAACGACTTTTTGATTAAAATCATAAATTAAAAAAGAAATATGAGCTTTATAACAGTGATGGAACGAACTGCCTATGCTTGGCAAAGAGTTCAATAATCTTAAATAAACTGTCGATGTTCATGGTTTTAGGCACGTGACATTGCCGAGGGAAAATCCTGGCCTAGACGGCTGTAAATCTTGGATTATCTCGCCGACTTAACGTCAACTGAGTCATCATCGTTGCTGTCGACTTTTAACATACAATTCTTAGGTAGCCTATCTGTTACCTGATATTTCGTGGAATGCTAAAATTACTTGTGAAATGAATTTGAGAGAAATATGAGTTTTGTGAAAGTCGTAAATGCATTTAAGTTTTATGATACGGAATTAGTGTAATATATTTTTGTTTATTCCACAAGATATTTTACCATAGAATTTTCGATGATTCAGTTTTATGTGTCACCGATTGTTTTTCATTTGAAAATGAAAGGAAAGATTTTCCAGGTAAAGAATATTACTTTTGTATAGTTTTCATTGCCAGAGCTTTTACAATTTACACTAAAATTCTCTGTAAAATTTTTCAAACTACAATGTTTCGTTTCTATATGTAAATACAAGAAAATATTTCATATTTTAATTTTACTTGTTACTTTTTTGAACAATTAATAATAAAAATATAATTAACATGAAATGTAAAATAATATATTTACAAAATATTGACATTACATCTCTCGTAATATTTTTCAACATTCGAAAGAAGAATATTTTAGGCTCATTGTAAAGCTTAAAGCCAGAGGAATGAACGATAAAATTTTCGATTTCGCTGTTTTGTTTTGCAATTACTTTTGCTTTACCGATGAAATCAAGGATTAATACAGTACGCGTTGAAATTATAGACTATTAACTAATAGATTGGGAGAGAACATGAGAGTATATGTATGTAAATCGGCATTTTTCAACTGAACACAGTTGGCTCCAGTCATTAATATTCGCGGCATAATTCAGCTGCATCGCGGTATCCGCATTCAGACCGATAAGCGAAATAACGATGTGCTAGCTCGATGATACATATTTTTAACGAGATCCAGGCAGTGGAAATTCGCGTGGGAACTTTGCCTATCGAACGATTACAACGGGATCAAGGCAACGATGAATTTGGATTAAAGAATCTGATCAGTTAAATGAAACTATATTTTTTAAATTTTTTATCGATACAATTCAAATTGATACAAATCTGTGAAGAGATTACTTTGCAACAAATATGTTGTAAAATAAGTTTTATATATATTGTTTTTTTAATTGTTCGAATAAATGCTGTTAAAAATCACTATTACAGATTTTGAAAATAATTTTGAATTGAAACTGAAATAAAATATGTAATAAATTAATAAACTAATTGTAACAATAATAATACAATAATATAAGAATAAAATAGATTATATCCATACTGAAAATCATTTGTTCTTGATCTTGGAAAACAAGAAAAAGCAGAGAATTAATAATAAATTTTAGTCTAATTTTCTAAGAAAACAAAAAACAAACGTTTTCAGATAATTGAATCAGGAAAAAAGAAAGATTATAAGATAGACTAATGATAATTTTAATAGCTCGATTCTATATATAGCTCGCCACGTGGTGCGCGAGCTATATATAGAAAATTAAAATGAAGAAGAATTTATATATTTTCATCATAAAACTAAACTTTGCTAATTATATGCTAGCAGTTTTGACGTCAATAACTTCTTTTATTGCTATATTAGAGAGGATTATCGATATTTATGGAAGATTTATGGATATAATCTTTCGTATTTATTATTAAATAACCGCTTAATGACAGGAAAATTCTGCCATGATAACGATGTAATAAAAAGCTTCGTGCAATAAATATCGCAATGGATATATAAATAAATGAGGATTTCATAACAAAAGAATTTTTTTCTAATTTCAATCAAGTTAAAAATCTACTACAACTATGAATTTAATCAAATTTGTTTAAAGATTAACTTCCTTAAAGAAGATGTAAATATAAATATTCAAAAACAACTTTTTGCATGATGGATTCACTGACGAGTTCGATTTAGTAGAATTAATTCTCTTGCTTATTAGGGCATCGATACGAAACAGCTGTAAATAATCAGGCTCTATTGCCTGGATGCATAACTCAGCGGCTACATATGCCTCGTGATCAATAATTACACAATACAATGATAGCAACGAATTTTGATTCCCTTCTCGATGCTTACTCACTCCAGAGGCGTGAATAATTGAAACCGGTAGAATCGAATGTGTAATCTAAATCTAAATTAATAGGTCGCATTGCCTGTGCAATAATAGCCGTTATGATACCGGAGAGATTAGTGGTGGCATAATTCACTTGGAGAATTGACACTGTCAACGCACAGTTTCTGGAAAAATAATAAATAAGTTAATAGATTATTTATATTTGAAAGAATTCTAGAATCGTATGATTAGATTATGTTAAAAAATTACTATTATTCGTATTATAACAATATTCACCGTATATATTTTACCGTAATATTATAAAAATAAGATGCTGGAATAGGAGAAATATTTTGACCGGCATCACGGCAATGGATATAAATTATAACGAAATTTTAAAGTTTATGAGTTGCTCGCAAGTTGAAGCATCCTCACGGTTTCCTACAGTACTTACTCTTACTACTCACGGCAGATAAATGGAACGCGAATTCTACTGTCAGAGCTTGGCTGCTTCTTGTCGCGACAGTCACACATGTTCAAAATTACAGTTATTTACGAAGTATGACACGCAAACGTGAAAACTTCTTGTATCTAACCTTACCATTTAACGGTAAATTCTGTTACCTGAATTTTACAACGGTACTTAAACATTTTAACTTTTGCAGTCGAATACCGGTACTCGTGTCATTAAGATAATTTTATTTTATTCATCAAATGAAAATTTTTCGTACCGTAATAAAAGGACCACACTTTCTTTAAAGAAAAAGTAGTGAAAATCATCTATTCAACGTGTATACAAACGATCAGGAAAAGGGA